CGTGATTTTCAGAAGCTAGCGGATTTGTACAAATGTAAGATTTGGTATAACGCAAAATACCATCCCCAAACAAACAGCGTAGAACGAGTGAACAGAGTAGCCGGGGCTGCTATTCGTTCCTACATTAAGGATAATAATCATCGGTATTGGGACGTCCATTTACCAAAAATTGGGTTTGCGCTTCGAACGGCCATTCATGAAGCCACCGGATTATCTCCTACGTATATAAATTTTGGTCGGTACGTACCAATTTCAGGAGATTTTTATGACAGGAACAGCGACCCATCGAAAGTTGATTTAACGAACCCTGACCGGAGCCAATATTTTGAAAATTTGGAGGGCTTGTCTGAAATCTACAAGACAGTGCGTCAAAAACTAACGGCCGCGTATAAAAGAAATTCTCACACGTATAATTTACGACGCCGTCCTGCTGATTCCTATCAAGTAGGTGACCGGGTGTGGAAACGCAATTATGTACTTTCAGACGCATCAAAGCACTTTTCCAGTAAACTGGCTCCAAAATATGTTCCATGTATCGTCACCAAGGTTATCTCTCGTCTCGTATATAGATTAGCGGAGGCTGAGAGTCATCAAAACCTAGGAAACTGGCACGTTAAAGATCTTAAGCCGTTTCGGGGTGATGATCGTGGAGACAGTAGTACCGACGAATGATTTTTTTTTAAGTCTATGTGCCTGAGAGAGAGAATATGACGTATGAGTGATCTCGTGTATGTGGTATGAATGTGGTGAGTGGATGAGTAGGTTTTTTTTCCGACTCAGAACAATTTAATTTTTTTCCCAATTACGACGTGTGCACACAATAAAACCCTGATTTTGACAATTTCTTCTCGATTCTGACGTTTACTTCCAGATTTTGACATTTTATTCTCGATTTTAACATTTAACTTTAGCCCTTCGTCGATTAGCAGTCAGAGGTTTCATGTTCTCCCGATGGAGGATGTTTTTGTTCGTGACTCTCTGAATCTGCAAATTCTTGGATTCGAATTCCTATTCAAAGAGACTTTTGCTGTTTCACGAAAATGGCTCTCAAAATTCTTTTGTTGTTTACTCCTTAGAAAATTCTGGAGTATGACTGGAATCTTTTTTTATTTACAATTTCTTTCCTTTTTCTTAGGTGGGATACATCTTATGGAAAAATTTTAATTATGTTTAATTTAAATTTTTTTGTTATCATAGGGGGGTGCCTGAAGTGCGGGGTTAGCATACATGACTTCACCACGATTCAAATCTTCTCGTAGTCTCCGTCGCAGCTGTTTACGCTTTGTATCTAGATCTAAGCGATCGGGCGTAACCCCCGCACTTATGCATAACATCTCAGTTCACTTTTTTGGTGTGGAGAAGAAATGTTAGAGGTATTACGAAATTGAGGGGTCGAGAATAACTTATTTTCTTGGTTATCCCCGTCTGGACAAGCTAAATCGGGTTCTAGCAGAGCGATGCTTCGCCGCGGAGGTGGTCGAAATTTTTCCTGATTGGTTAAAACGCTTTCCAGGGTTCTACAGATATCCGACAACTGAGTAAACGTTTTAATGTCGTGCAAAGCGAGGTGGGTTTGGAAAACCGGTAAGAGATTACGACGAATTAGATGCAATTGGGAAATTTCAGGTGGAATATCCGACAACCGATTAAACAAATTGCGCATAGTCGCCAGATACAAAACAACTGACTCACGAGATCCCTGCGTTCGATTATGAATTTCCTTAAGAAGTTCCTGATCATAATCTGGCGGCAAAAAATCTCGCTTTAAAGCCTGAATCAGCTGATCCCACGAACTGACTGATGGTTTTATCGATCTATACCACAAAAGTGCCTTTCCATCGAATAAATCTACAGCGGACCTAAATAATTCCGCTTTTGAGGTATTTCGAGCCACTCGCAATTCCTCTATCCGTTGTAAAAACCCATTGACCGAATCATGCTGAGACTTACCATCAAAAGTTACATTCCACTTGTGTACCGGAGTAGGCTTAAGGATCGTAGTGTTCTGGTTGACTCCCGCCGGACTCGCGGTCGCATCATCTGGAGGTAGAGAGGTTTGTTCCACCATTTCATACCTGGTTTCATCCAATGCTTCCGCCATCGCCATTTGATCATGTTTGAATTCTTGCTTAGTTTTAGCAACTCCAAATTTTGGAACTTGAATACCAGCATCCTTCAATAAAGTATAACTAATGTGTTCATGGACATTGAGGTTTCTTGTTTGCTGTTTTTGGGGTTGCCAGTTTGAAGTCGTTGATCCCAAAACTTTTTTTGCGATTGCAATGGCTACGATGCTTCGAAGTGCTGTTTTAGCTGAACATATTCTTTTAAAGAATGCCACAAAAGTTTTGGGATCAACGACTTCAAACTGGCAACCCCAAAAACAGCAAACAAGAAACCTCAATGTCCATGAACACATTAGTTATACTTTATTGAAGGATGCTGGTATTCAAGTTCCAAAATTTGGAGTTGCTAAAACTAAGCAAGAATTCAAACATGATCAAATGGCGATGGCGGAAGCATTGGATGAAACCAGGTATGAAATGGTGGAACAAACCTCTCTACCTCCAGATGATGCGACCGCGAGTCCGGCGGGAGTCAACCAGAACACTACGATCCTTAAGCCTACTCCGGTACACAAGTGGAATGTAACTTTTGATGGTAAGTCTCAGCATGATTCGGTCAATGGGTTTTTACAACGGATAGAGGAATTGCGAGTGGCTCGAAATACCTCAAAAGCGGAATTATTTAGGTCCGCTGTAGATTTATTCGATGGAAAGGCACTTTTGTGGTATAGATCGATAAAACCATCAGTCAGTTCGTGGGATCAGCTGATTCAGGCTTTAAAGCGAGATTTTTTGCCGCCAGATTATGATCAGGAATTTATCGCGCCATCTGCACAAAGATGCAGGTTAGAATAGAATTCAGGGGCGATCGAGATGACGTAACGCTGTCGACTTGGCCCAATAGTCGGGAGCCAACTGCGAGTTTGCGACCGTAACGGCCTGCTCGTCTAGGCACTCTTGGGGTGCTGGGCGACAGTGCTTGCGATAGATAGAATCACTGTCGTGGGTAGGAGAAGAGTCACGACCAGGAGCCCCAAGCTCCGCTCGCGCTACAATGCCCCCTATGGGTATTTTTTGTTGTGCTCCAGAATGAAATTGACAAAGCTCGATCGCTACACTCTTATAGCCCTCTAGTGCTGCTGCTGCTGCATAGTTTTTTTTTATTAAAATGTTGTTCTCTTGTTGACTGCCATAATTTTAAATTTGCCGCCACACGTCTGTAATAGCTTGTGTATTTATTTACATCCAGTTACTTTACTTCAGATTTTGCTTTGTTTTTATTAAATTTGTAATTTTTTTTTTCATTTAAATTTCATCCAAAGTTCAAAGTTTTTTTTTGGAGCTGAAAAGCGATTGCGATTCGGCCCCCACTGGGCAGTCTGAGGGCAAGTCATGCATCATGAGTCACCCTCGCAGGCAGCTTTTTTTTCTTTTTTTTTTGCCAGTGGAGGAATAAATAATTTTGTATCTTTCATAAACTTTATGTTTTATTTAGCGGTACTTTTCCAACCTTGGGGTCCACCATTTGCATCTGAACGCATCCCACCATTTTTTAAAAACACAATGTAGGGTTTTATTTTGTCAGATGATCGCAGCCAAGGCCAAATTTTAAATTTTTCGCGGGCCTTCAATTTTCAGACCTTTTTTTTGGCACCATAATTAACCTTTGCTAGTTATTTCTACCACGTAAATATTTTATTGATTAATGCTTCCATCCCATCATATAAATTGTCCGATGTCCAATCTTAATCTCAGATGTAAATTCTTTGCTGTTTAAAATTTCACGAAAGTGTATGGCGAATTTAAATGTTGTTTATTGCCCTTTTTGAAACTTTAACACTTGTTCGGTTGTAGTTTAATATCAGGGTTATAGACATTGAAGATCTAAATGGAATTGAGGTAAATAATACAGAAACACGTGGCGGAAGCGGAGTGCGCGGTTCCTTGTCGAGCTGGCGGTCACGCCATCTGCACAAAAGACGCAGCTATTTTAATTTTACATAACACATACATACAACGCTTATTTTTTTCATTTCATTTTTCAATATTAAAAATTTATAATTTACCTGTCTTTCAGTGAAGAACTATCTATCCATTTCTAGCGCAGTCAAACAACTTTTTTTTGTTGAATTGCATGTACTGTTCCAACATTGTTTTCTAATAGTTCGACTGAGTTACCATTACGGCAAAACTATGAATTTTTGTTTGATATCAAAATTTTAAGATCCATTTATTTACCTTTGTCGGTCGGTGGCACATTTACATTTTTAGTCGCTTTTCAATTCACTAAATTATACTAACTAGTTTTTGCAGCACTATGACCTGTTCATACTATCTTGGCACCATTTTCCCTCAATTTTTGTTCAGTTTTAATAAGCTAATTACCAAATGAGGAAATATTCAAAACTTTGTAAAGAGCACGCGACCTACATGGTTAAATAAATGGGCTTTAGGTTGAGTATGTAATTTATTTGGTCAACGATCTTGGTCATATAAGTTTTTTACAAAACAAAAATTTGTACAAATTAGCAACACTGAATGAGCTACTGCTCATTTTTGATTATGAGAATATATAACTAAGATAGAACAGTCACACAGCAAACTTCCGTAATAAAATTTGTCGATGATATAACTATAAAATATAAATTACACACAACCTGGAAACATTGTATCATTTGAAGAACGCAACTTTACAGAAAAGCTTAGCAAAAAAACGAAACAGTACACGTGATTCTCTACACTTATCAAGGCAACTGGTCTCAACATTTTAAGCAGTCTTTAACATTTAAAACTTACAATTTGGTAACACAATGTGCATAAACCATTACAGCCCTCATGAAAATTGTAATACAACACATTAAAAAGCAACAACTTTAATACCATTAGGGACGGTTTTTAGGGGTTAATACATTATTTAGAAAAGATAAAAAAATGTAAAACAGAATGTAACATTTAATATACAAGAAATATAAATAAAATTAACAAGGTAAACCGTAAAAAATCTTATGTTTAGTACATTATAGGCTTATCTTTTGTTTGGTTTTTAACATAAGCAGTAAACCTTTTTAAGAATTTTGGATATTCTCGTTTGTAAACCGCTCGTAATACCGATGCGGGAGCCCAGCCCCCCGGATTTACTAAAAACATACAGATTACTTAACCAGCTTGGACAGTTACAAAGAAATTTATTACCCACAGAACAGTACGTTATCCTACAAGTGAGATCTTCCCTGGTGACGGGTGCCCCATCTTTCGGTGGATCAACTCGAGTTTGACATAAAAGACATACCGTAAGAAATATCCGTACACATTTACCAGCATTTGCCTAAGAACTCATACAAAATTAGTAATACTGTTTGTAATAATTTTGAATTTATGTACTTACAGGATGATCTACATGCTCGGTGGAATTATTGACGACGGTCCATAAATCCGGCCCATCCCTATCCTGGTCATCCGCCAAACGTCGCATATGTGACCAAAATACAGTATCTCTTTGACTTGCGGGCCATATCCTTTTGTGAGTTTGATGAAATATGAGAGTATCTTCAGAAATAGTTTCAAGAACTGTCATGTGTTCTAAAGTAGCTACAAATACACACATTTTGTAGAATATTTAGTACGTAGACAATTGTTACTCACTTTCCCAATCATATCGATACTGTGGACTAAAAAAATAGTGGCATAATTCATGACCTGTAATACCTTTAACGACGTGCACAGCCTTTAATGGATCAACAACCATCCCATCAATTTCTTCTTCTCTTCTATACATTCTCATTTCACCGTCTTCCGCGAACAACTGCCATCCAGTCCCGCACTCCCCTACGCCTAATTTGGCCATCGCAACTTCTTGTTTCACAATTTTTTCAATCTAATTTTGTTTAAGTTAACTTAAACACAATGTGCAAGATAATTATTATTACTTTTACCTGTGGCCATAAACAATGTGATGACGCTGGGGATGTTGGAGATGACGCAACGGGAATAACTTGACCGCTCTTTAATCGATCCCGCAATTCCTGCTCTTCCTCCATTTTATCTAAGCCGGATTCGACGGCATCATAAAATTCGTCATCTGCCAATACGCTATGAGGACCTTCCTAAAAAATCAAAACATTATGAATTAAAATTTCAGGTAGGTTATTTTACTCCATTATGTAGAAACTTTGACGACATTTTAGCGCATTAAGAGATAACTGACCATAAGAAATAAATGTTTGTGCAATGTGGCTGATAACTAATTTCTCAGGTCAAGCGATAACTTCTGTAGGATGTAGAAGATATTAACTATGAATTACATAAGCATTTAAGTCAAACACATTAAACGATGTTGACACTTTAGTGGAAAAATTCATGGAACGTTTTTCAAGAAACAGCCCTGTTGTTTGCTGCATCAAAATATTGTTAGATAATTTATAAACAAATAAACAGGATGCTTAAAACTGGTGCGTTAAGGTAATGTTATCGTATTAAGATACAGTGGTTGAGTAATTGTAGAAAAAAAAAAAAAACGTGTGCTTGAAAAAAATATATACAGTTTGGTAATTATTCTAGATTTGAAGTTGATACAATTAAATTATGAAGTTTTAGGGAATCGGAACGGACTGCGAAAAAAATATTAAATAAATCTTTAGCGAAATATACGAACGTTAAGATGGTGCTTGCATTTCAGTAATATGTTTTCATTTTTTTTAATCCATTATACATACACGTATTTTTAAATAAACAAAATTGTAATTTCGTAAATGGAACTAACAATTCGTGCAAATATTTTGCATGTTCAGATGATATAACATGTATTGATATAAATTTATTATCACCACCAATTTGTCTGCACAGTATTCTAGATTACATACCTTATGACTAGAGAGCGGATTTATAAGCACACTAAAATTAAGAATAAGCGCTTAAATAAGCGTAACATTTTCATTACAAAAGTTTTATTTTAAGCAAAAAAGTATAAAAAACCCTTCTTAGAACTCCATATAAAATATTATTATAAGAATTCTAAACTTTAAATGTTTACGCATACCTATGTAGTTTAACGCGGCTAAAATAATTTCAAGCCGTATTTCAGTCTTTTTTAAAACAATTTACGATTGCAATCTGTTATAATTTGTCCAAATTAAAATTTTTTCGCCGATCATTCAAAATATGTTGTTGGCGTAGATTTTACTGTTGGTATTGTTTTAAGATATTAACAAGGTTAATAGTTGGATTAAAAAACAGCATCTGGTTAAAAGCTTTAATTCGTTTTTAAAGGAAATAAGGTTTTTAAATTCATGAAATCTACCGAGTATTTTTTAATCTTATGATAAAATTTTATTCGTGTTCACAGAAAGGGGCTTGAATAAGTATCTTTCAATGGTCAAGTTCGGGTAAAACCCATACAATAAAATACGAATAACTAAGTATTGCTCATCCCGGCAACAGCGGCATTTGAACAAAATATAGTATAACTTCTATAATTCGATCCCACGATTATCCGAACAAAAACTCTGCAATTCGAACTGAACTTGAAAACATGCACCTACTTTTTTGAAATTTTTAAAAATTGACTTAATCTTCTAAGAAAAGGTCTTAGCCCCGCCCACCCACCCTTTATTTTCTTAGAAGAGTAGGTCGATCATCTACCAAAATCAATTTTATTTGGCAAGTATGAGACTAATTTTTGCAAATAACATATCTTCTAAGACAATAAGGGTGGGTGGGCGGGGCTAGTACTTGTCAAGATAAGACTGATTTTGGCAGATGACCCATTCTTCTAAGAAAATAAAGGGTGGGTGGGCGGGGCTAGTATTTGTCAAGATGAGACTGATTTTGGCAAATGACATCCTCTAAGAAAATAAGGGAGGGTGGGTGGGGTTAGCACTTGCTAATAATAAAAAAAATTAAAAATCAAAAAATGACATATTGAAGAAATCGGAAAATTCTACAACTGTATACATAATAGAAAAATAAAAAACTGAAATATTGAAAAATTAACAAAAAAAAAAAACAAACCTTATAAAATCGAATTTGAAATTCCAGTTTTAACTTTTTTTTAGTTTTTAGATTTTTCAACTTTTGAATATTTCATTTGATAATTTGTTTGACAATTTTGAAATTTTTTGATTTTTAATTTTTCAAGTTCTCAAGTTAAAATGTTTCCTTTTCACGATTTGTCATTTTTCGATTTTTTTACCAAAGAAACTACGGTAAACATGGCAATCGCAAAATTACTTTTTACTCCCTTCCAAAAACTCGGTGACAAAAAATCAAAAATCGAAAATTAAAAAAAAATATATCTATTTTCTCGATATTTTTTAAAATCAAATAATTGAGAAATCGGAAGTTTTTTCAGTTGCCCACGAAATCAAAAATCGAAAGACAGATCAAAAAATTGAAAATTTAAAAGGCAAGAAATTGAAAAATTCGAAAGTTGAAAAATCGAAAAACTGAAAAATCTAGTAGTACTCACTACGATAAGGCTAATTTTGGCAAATGATCTACTCTCTTAAGCAAACAAAGGGCGGGTAGGTGGGGCTAGCACTTGCCAACTAACATACCCTCAAAGAAAATAAAAGGCGGGTGGGCCAGGCTAGTATTTGCCAAAATAACACTCATTTTGGCAAATGACCTTCTCTTTTTTGAAAAAGTACTAGCCCCGCCCACCTCCCCTTTATTTTCTTTGAAGAGCGGGTCATCTGCCAAAATCAGTCTTATCTTAACAAGTACTAGCCCCACCCACCCACCCTTGTTTTCTTAGAGGGTATGTCATTTGCAAAAATCAGTCTCATACTTGCGAAGATAAGACTGATTTTGGCAGACGACTTATTCTTTATTTTCTTAGAAGTGAGTCTTATTTTGGCAAATACTAGCCCGGCCCACCCGCCTTTTGTTTGCTTAAGGGAGTGGATCATTTGCCAAAATTAGTCTTATCGTAGTGAGTACTACTAGATTTTTCAGTTTTTCGATTTTTCAACTTTCGAATTTTTCAATTTCTCGCTTTTTAAATTTTCATTTTTTTGTGGGGAACTGAAAAAACTTTCGATTTTTTAATTTTACAATTTTGACTGTTTTCCGATTTCTCAATTGTTAGATTTTTAAAAACATCGCGAAAATAGATGTTTATTTTTTAAATTTTCGATTTTTAATTTTTTGTCATCGAGTTTTTGGAAGGGAGCAAACAGTAAATTGATCGGCGATTTGCCATGTTTACCGTAACTTTAAAACATCTGAAAATTTTGTTTCTAATTTTCAATTTTTGGATTTTTCGATTTTTCAAAATTTCGGTTCGAATAAATTTGTTCATTTTAGTTAAAAATCGAAAAATGACATCGTGAAAAGGAAAAATTTTAACTTGAGAACTTGAAAAATTAAAAACTGTAAAATTGTCAAACAAATTATTATCAAATGAAATATTCAAAAGTTGAAAAATCTAAAAACTAAAAAAAAAAAATAATGAAAACTGGAGTTAATTTCGAATTTGATTTTATAAGATTTTTTTTTTCAATATTTCGATATTTCAGTTTTTGATTTTTCGATTTTTCATTTATCTGATTGTTCTATATGTCGTTTTTTAATTTTTGATTTTTTTTGTTACTTTTGGCAAGTGCTAACCCCACCCATCCAGCCTTTATTTTCTTAGAATAATAAGTCATCTGCCAAGAACAGTCTCATCTTGACAAGTACTAGCCCCCGCCCACCCACCCTTTATTTATTTTGAAGAGCGGGTCATCTGCCAAAATCAGTCTTATTTTGACAAGTACTAGCCCCGCCCACCCACCCTTGTTTTCTTAGAGAATATGTCATTTGCAAAAATCAGTTTTATCGTAATGAGTACTACTAAATTTTTCAGTTCTTCGACTTTCAACTTTCGAATTTTTCAATTTCTCGCTTTTTAAATTTTCAATTTTTTGATGTCTTTCGATTTTTGATTTCTCTGACCAGTTGAAAAAAACTTTCGATTTTTTAATTTTACAATTTTGGCAGTTTTCCGATTTCTCAATTATTTGATTTTTAAAAATATCCAGAAAATAGCTTATTTTTTTTAATTTTCGATTTTTGATTTTTTGTCACCGAGTTTTTGGAAGGGAGTAAAAAATAATTTTGATCATCGATTTGCCATGTTTACCGTAACTTTAAAACATCTGAAAATTTTGTTTCTAATTTTCAATTTTTGGATTTTTCGATTTTTCAAAATTTCGGTTCGAATAAATTTGTTCTTTCAGTTAAAAAATTGAAAAATGACAAATCGTGAAAAGGAAAAATTTTAACTTGAGAACTTGAAAAATTAAAAATCAAAAAAGTCCAAAATTGTAAATTTAAAACTGCAAAATTGTCAAACAAATTATTATCAAATGAAATATTCAAAAGTTGAAAAATCTAAAAACAAAAAAAAAAGAAACTGGAATTTCGAATTCGAGTTTATAAGATTTGTTTTTTTTTCAACTTTTCGATATTTCAGTTTTTGATTTTCCGATTATACAGATGCACAATTTTCCGATTTTTCAATGGTATTTTTTGGTTTTTAATTTTTTGCTAACCCCACCCACCCACCCAGGTTTTTTTTTTCTTTGAAGAATAAGTCATTTGCCAAAATCAGTCTCATCTTGACAAGTAGAAGCCCCGCCCACCCACCCTTATTTTCTTAGAGAATATGTCATCTGCCAAAATTAATCTTATCTTGACAAGTACCAGCCCCGCCCACCCACCCTTATTTTTTTTAAAGAATATCTCACTTGCAAATCAGTCTTGCCAAGACAAGATTGATTTTGGCAGATGACCTACTCTTCTAAGAAAATAAAGGGTGGGTGGGCGGGGCTAGTACCTTTTCTTAGAAGAGTAGGTCATTTGTCGCCTTTTATTTTCTTAGAGGGTAGGTTACTTGGCAAGTACCACCATGGTGTAAAATTTCATTTTTGAAAAAGTTGTCTAAAAATTCTATAGCATGTTTATGATAACGAGAGCAATATTTTCGGAAAATTCGGAGTGAAATTCGATTTTTTTGAAATTTTCAAAAATTGCGATATTTCAATGGACGATTCTGGAAAAACGGTTTGAGTTATAGAAGAAATGAAGCCAGAAGTGACTTCTCCGGCCGAAAATCTATATGAAAGTATTTAGTTAAATTTCGAAAATTGTCGAGAATGGGTCGAAATTTGCACAAGGGAGGTAATACGAATACATAATGGGATATGGAAGCTTTCTTGCAATTTTTAAATGATACCTACTAGACGACCAAATTGAGACTTTTTTATTTATTTATTATTATAAATATGAACTAATCGATCAGACAATAACATATATTTACTTATGCGCAATCATGGTAGATTAATTATATTTAACAATATTTTATTTTGCAGTTTTTTAATCGTAATAAAATAACAATAACTTTTATATGTACTCAATGTCACGTTTATTAAGTTGTCTCTTCAAATAATAAAAAGTTAATAAAAACACTTTAAATTACCATATTTTGGAAATTTGAAATAATTTTGTGTTTGTCGGAACAGAATTAAAATTGATAAATCAACATTTTCTCGATTAAATTAATTACAACAGCAATAAAAACATACGACTTACAGTTTTGTGTTTAAGTATTCTTAAAATAAAATCTTTCATCTTTGAAAAAAACTAAATTATAACAAATTAAAACACGCCACCAGCTGATTGAACACAACCGTACGCTATGATTTATGATAAAGTTATGCCGACATCCTACGTTACTGCATTATTTCTTACACAAAGCGCGTTTGTATGGTATGACTAATCATTATTATTCATGAACTGAAACGTTCGGATAGTTTCGTCATCAATTTCGTTGTAAATTTTGATGATAAACACATTTAAAATAAAACAATTAACATTACCTACCGTTAGTGATAGCATCCCCGTGCATTTCAGATAGACTTTCAGTAGTTTATAGACGATTATTAAAAGCACGGTTAAATTGTATATCACTGACATCTTGTGTATGACACGCACAAATCGAGATGGACGATAATTGTATTTTGCGTTTGATCGAATTATAAATAGATTTACTAAACAATGGTAATTATAAAAGTATACATAAACAAATCCATTACATTTTGCAGGCAGATTTTCTTGAAAAAGCTTCGTACGAATTTGCGTGGCATCTCAATTAAAACTTTTCGACTAATTTTGACACACCCTTCACTTAATGTCAAGCATCACGAGACTAAGGTGACAATACTAGCATGTGCCTAAGATTAAAAATTATAATCAAGTAAAAATGTTGTATTAATTATTTCTGTCTATGGTTTTGTATTAAAACATACAAAATATGTAAAGGTTATTAATATTTACTTTTCTCACATCTAAGGTATAAAAATGCCACCTGTACACATTTCAAAGCTTACTTTTCGCGGGTTTTTTTAACAATTAATATTTAAAATGACGTCAACTACTTTTTGATGAGAATAAATACAATGATTTTCATATTTTTAATAACACTGCGTTCTTAGACTTTTAATAATAAATAAAATAATAAATCCGTTCATCCACGAATTCCTAAAATGTGAAAAAAAGTGGAAGCTAAATTACACTGAAGGGCGAATTTTGCTTAAACTAGCTAGTGGGGATAAATATATTCATTGTGATGTGTACAAAGAAATACTAAGTGTAACGTTACTATGTTTACAAAATTTCTAGGGCGTGACACGGACAATTTTTCAGTGATAAAATTAATTTATTTATGCAATTATTTTTGCAAATATTTTTGAATTAAAGGCTTTCTGAAAAGGATGAATGCATAAATTGTAGCAAGGTAAAGTAATCTTTGAGATAATTTGTAATAGCTTGGTCCAAATTTATGAGACTATAAATATTCAGTGAAAAACAAAATTGCTTTGGAAGTCAGTTATGATGGAATTCTAAAGTAATCGATTCTAGTCTTGGAGATTGCGTCTGATGAAATCGTCCAATAAACAAGAATCACAAAGAGCTTCATATTCTAGATTATGAAACATGTCAAAACGATTTCATTAAATACTTCTTTTAAATATGGTTTAGAAAGTAAAAGCACAATAAAATTAAAAAGTTCAAAGTATTACCTCCAAATCTGGACCAGGATGAATGTTTCGTGATTTTTGTAGTTGCGCGAAGTAACTCTTCGCCAGATTTTCACTTCGTTTTCTTCTTTCAATTTCTTTATCTAATCGGTTACGCCATGATTCTTCTCTTTGGGTTACCAATTCAGCGCAATGTTCTAAAGTATCCAAAACTGCTGCTGTAGTAGTCTTAAATGTTATCGCTTCACCTTTAAAATCAATAACTGGCAATTTTTCTGAAATAAATAATTAGTTTAAAGCACACTCGTGATTGGAAAGAAAACCTTTGTTTGGCCCATTGTGAGCTTCATTATCCACACAATAATCAAAATATGTCTGTAATGTTTCAATTTGTCGGCACAGAATGTCCTTAAAAGTATCCAATTCGGCAAGTTTTTCCCGTAAATTGCGAGACGATCGCTTGAAACTACTTCCGGACGCTGTGCTGTATGTGTTGGATTGTAGGCTAACAGTTGATCCATGCCGTTTTAAACTGTTTTCCGAGCCTGTACCATAGCCAGACTCCAACTGAAAACGAAAACAAAAGTAAAATAAAAGCTTTCAGAAAAAACAAAAAATCTATTAATAGTTCTTCATGTGTACAAAAAACTCACTTGAAACTTACGCATAGCACGAACTTTACAATACAAATTTTGTTACAGAAATCTATGTACACATTTTGGAACGACTGAATCGTTTAAAAAATAACGTGAAGATAACATTTATCACTAATTATTCACACTTGCTATCTTCCACGTTACACAGTGTTAGTTATGTTAGTTATTTAACCAGTCACAGTGTAAAAGTAACACCAATCCAACTGTTAAGGTAAAGGAGCGCATTACATGTTTTATCATAATGATTTCCATATTTAACACTTGAAGAAACGGTGAGCGACACACATTTAGTTTCATAGGTCACTGGGCGCCCAGCGTAACCGAACACCCGATAAACACAATGATTTGTAAATGGTCTATTTGAAAAATATCTATAATAGTAAATTTGTCATTATTTCGTCACAAGTGTCGCTTTATACAGTTTTAAAATTTATCAGTGCTAAACGTTAATGGTACGTAAACCTGACAAAATATGTGTACTAGTTACACCAAATGTGACCTAAAAATATAGCGACGGTCAGATTTAATGATTCTATATATGGTCATACGTATATTAAAATTGCTTTAATTAGGAGTCGATAACGTTCTAAGGATGTTGACGCACATTTAGACATTTTACTCAGTAGCGGACAGTGATCTTGGTAATGCGAGTAAAGGTAACTAAAACATTTTTTTTTCGTCAAGTGTATGCTGAAGAACTTGCCAGCGGAGTTCTTCAGATTGACTTAAATTTTTCTTTATATAATTGATACAAAATTGGATTCTGTTTGAGCGAAATGGGACGCAGCGATCATTAATTGGGCAATTTCTACGCTTAGGTATCAAACAGACAAGAGAATATTAGAGTTAATGGCCACCAACCTAGACCTTTCGTTTGACCTGTAAATAATCAGAGCACTAGAGTAAATTTGCAAACACAAGCGGTGTTGTAGAAAGTTCAAGCTTCTTTGTTTGTCAATGGGATTATAGCAACGCAAATGATTTCATTAAATTTGACTTTCATGGTATAGTTTTATAACGTTTGAAATTTTAATGTCTACGGAAAATTAAGACTATTGAATAAATACAACTTCAATTATAACTTCTGAGGTTTCTTTTTTCGGGACTTTTTTGGCTTAGTAAATAGATATACAAAGGACTGCATCGCATCGGAGTTAGTTAACCTCAACTAACTTTTAACATTTCCAGTAACTTCAATTTATAAAGTTAAAAACTTAAAAATTCTAACATTAAACAAACGTCGTAACTTGTTACATCTTGTTATAAAACATTCGAACTCAAGAACATAGGAAGAATGCAAATTGATAAAACTTTTAGTTAATAAATCTCTCGCCCATGACCTTGTTTAATTACCATTTCACTTAGAATGTATAAAGATATGGTTGTGTTGTTTTTGTAATAATTTGATAAAATTCCATTTAACAAACAATGTTTGCCCGCTATAAAGCGAAGGTACAAATAGCAAAAATCGAGTAAGCAGTTAAAAATGTTCGCAGTTAATTGTAGGTCCCCTGGTGTTTTATTTTTTGATAAATTTAAAAGAATCTGGTATTTTGTTGCTGGATGAACTTGAAAAAATCTTTAAAGCTTTTGGTGTTTTGTTTTTTATGAAATTAAAAAAGTCTTTAGTGCTGCACTTTTTTTTTTTAATTCGGGAGACTCTTGGGTACCTATGGTGTATTATTTTGGGAGCCTATGGAGATTTTTTTTTGTAAATTATTTAAAACAATTTTGGGGGACTTCGGAGTTCTATTTTTGAAAAATTCTGACCTGACTTGTTTCTGAATTAATTTTGGGAACCCTTTTTTTTTTTTGAAAAATTTATAACCATTTCAGGTTCTCGGTATTCCCGTTTGGAAAGAATTTGAAGGTGCTTTGGTGCAGCTAGTGCCTTTTCTTATAATAATTTAACTAAATTTCTTCAAGGATAAATCATTTGCTAAAATCTGTCTTATCTTAGCAACCCCAGCCGCCCGCCTTCCATTTTAGAAAATATGTCATTTGCCAAAAACGGTTTTACTCTAGCAGCTACTAGCCCCGCCCACCCACCCTCTCTTTTATTATTATTATTCACCCCCACAGTACAACCATTTATTAGGGTAAAATGAATGTACATATTTAACATTAAAACTAACTTAAATTTAACACCATCATGCAGCCTGTAACAAGCATATATTTTTATTTTTTCTTGAAACAGTATTAAAGATATCGAACATATCCTGGTTTCTGTTGTATATAATTTTCGCAAATGGTATGAATTGGAGAAAATTTACCCACATTAGTGCGAGCTGTAAAAATGTAAAATATGTCATATCGACCCTTGGAACTAACAAATATGTATATACATTTCAATAAATCTTGGCAATCGATATTTCCAGAGACAATTTTATATAAGAATATGAACGAAAAATATAAACGTCTTTCCTGTAAACTATTGATGCGAAAGGTTTGTAAGAGTTCTTCTTCAGGAAAGCCTCTTGGAGGGTAGAAACCAAATTTCTTATAATGTAAAAATTTTCTCCAAACTTTTTCTATCATGTTAACATTTATTATACAGTGCATCTTTTTTAAAAGTGGCCATAGGGATTCCCATGTTAAATTTTAGACCCCATGTTAACTATAGTTCGGGTGAAAACCCAGAGATGATTTTTGCGGAGAAAATAACCTTCGGGTTCCACTTTAATTTCCACTACCACTTTTTGCAGTAATTTGCTAATTTGTGCTTTAAAAAATAAAAATTATTTTGATTAAAAAAGTTTGGTACATCATAGACGGTTTTGACTTATCATTTTAACTTGTCATTTTTGACAGCATAATTTTGATTTAATCATTAAATACCTTAATTGCAGTTTTTAGAAAAGAAACAGAATGATGGAATTCAAACATAAATGAAGATAATAAAAGATAATTTCACTGAAATTGCGTTTTTAATGTCCAAGAAAAAACCTGTGTTTATAAATCTGCCGCAAAATTTTCAAAATGTGCCCTTGCCGGGTATAGAACGATGTGGGAATGCTGCAGCAAACTTTCGAGCTGACGTCATCAATTTTTTGGAGGGGATAAGCAAATATATTTTGACTAAACATTTATTATGCTCTTTATAACCTTAAAACATCTGCAAGATTTCAAAGCATTCGGTTTTGTAGTTTCTGAGTAAATCAGTAAAATAAATTTACGCATTCATTAATTTTTTTGAGTCACCCTGTATATGCAAATCCAAAAAATATGAATGGAGTGATAGATCACAAGTACAGACTCATCATATTTTGTACATTTTAGATATGATTTATTCCACAAACTTTTGAGCTGACGTCATCAAGTTTTTGGAGGGGATAAGCAAATATTTTTTGACTAAAGATTTATGATGCTCTTTATAGCCTTAAAACATCTGCAACATTTCAAAGCATTCTGGTTAGCAGATTAAAAATTAAATTTCAAAATGTTGTTTTATAATTTTGATTTTTTTTCCAAAAATCTGGACGTTACTATGTACAATTTTGAAGTGACGTCATCGCATTAGTGGTGGGGATGATTAGACAAATTTTGGTTAGCGTTTTACCATCTACATGATATTCTTAATATAAGTACAAAATTTCACAACAATCGGTCGAGTACTTTCGGAGATTATCTGTCTAATAAAAATCCGGGACGGCAGACGGACAGACGGACGGACAGACAGACGGAAATGGGAGACCTATTTCTTCGTCTTCTAGGGGTCATGAAAGATCGAGAAAACGTAAAAGTAGAGAGTCGGCCGACGGACTCGATTACAATACTTCCTTTGCTTACGCTCGGGAAGTAAAAATGAAAACTGGAATTTCGAATTCGATTTTACAAGATTTGTTTTGTTTTTCAATTTTTCGATATTTCAGTTTTTGATTTTCCGATTATACAGTTGTACAATTTTGCGATTTCTCATTTATTCGATTTTTCAATGTCATTTTTTTTATTTTTAGCAAGTAAGTGCTAACCCCACCCACCCAGTCTTTATTTTGTTAGAAGAATAAGTCATCTGCCAAAATCAGTCTCATCTTAACAAGTACTAGCCCCGCCCACTCCCCCTTTATTTTCTTAGAGAATATGTCATTTGCCAAAATGAGTCTTATCTTGACAAGTACTAGCCCCGCCCACCCACCCTTATTTTCTTAGAAGAATAAGTCATCTGCCAAAATCAGTCTTATCTTAGCAACTACTAGCCCCCCCCGCCCACCCTCCCTTATTTTCTTAGAGAATGTCTTTTGCCAAAATCAGTCTCATCTTGTCAAGTACTAGCCCCGCCCACCCACCCTTTATTTTCTTAGAAGAGTGGGTCATCTGCCAAAATCAGTCTTATCTTGACAAGTACCAGCGCCGCCCACCCACCCTTATTTTTTTACAGAATATGTCATTTATTTGCAAAAGTCAGTCTCATACTTGCCAAGATAAGATTGATTTTGCCGGATGACCTAGTCTTCTAAGAAAATAAAGGGTGGTTAGGCGGGGCTAGTATCTTTTCTTAGAAGAGTATTTAATTTGCCAAAATCAGTCTTATCTTAGCAACAACTAATAATGCACAATGATTAATAACTACTAACAACCAGTACATTATTAATAAAACAAGCTGTTATTTTTCATTACTGTCTTTGCCATTTCTATTGAAACACCACCTGTTAATTTTGCTTACAATTTAGCAATTGGTAACAGCTTTCGGTTGATTGACAACGGCTTTTACTTAGAAAATTGTCTGAATATGAACGTTGCCAAATTTACGATTAACAAGTGGTGTTTTAATAGAAATGGCAAATACTATATTCATGCATTAGGTGCAATGTTGCCAATTGTACTTTTATAAAATTACGGTTTTTTTTCCTAATCTACATTGTGGTGACCGAATTTGAATTAAAATTTCCCGTTGAAAAAAATTAACAGCGACGCGTAATCGCATTTGGAAAAAAAAACAATCAAGAAAATCGTTAAACATAGGCAACCAGGTGCACGTTTAGTTCTTTTTCTGGTAGTTCGTAGTTCTGCTAACGAATTTGAGTTAGAGGGTAGGTAGTGAGAGGATCGGCTTTGCTTGGTAGAGGGTCGCAACCCTTGACTGTTGTTTTGGTTTTCTGAGTGAAAGCATGGTGAAACGACGCGGTAAGTTAGCTAGGTTAAGTTGAGTTAGTTTGGTAATTAATAAAAGGGAGGAAGAGGAAGAATAACAACAATTAAACGTAACGACGACGACGCCACAGTTTCTCCAACACACTTGCTGTTTTCTAATCAGAAACATGCGAATTTTCGACCGACGCTAACACGTGTTGTAAATTTGTTTTTCTGCTCCCACTATTGTAAATAGCTAATTTTGTACAATCTAGTCACTATGTAAATGATTCCTTACGCACAGTTGTGTGTAATGGCCGTGTGTAAGGAATAGGGAATTACTTGTTTTAGTAAAAATGTGTTGGCAGTACATCTCACCATGTTTTTTATTTTGAAAATAAATCTAGTTAAGAGATATAAAAGCTAATCATGTTGTGCAAGCAAAATCTAAAAAGCGATATGAAATAATCTATACAAAATTTATGGGCTGGGGATTAAAGAACAAAGTGAAATCGGTTTCTGAGAACGTTGCTCTCGCTGATTTTGGCGAAATTTCGAAAGAGTTCAAAGCATCGTCCTTATGGGCTATTTATTCAATGTTGCGTACTATGTTAATTATTATAATAACATTGATTTTTTTTACTATTTTCGTTATATAATATACTAGTTCTTGTTTGTGAATTCACAGTTCATGTTAGGATTTTAATCGTTAATTAAGTCTAACACAATTTAACGGTCCTGAGATACTTATACTTAAGTGCTACATTATAACACATGTTAATTTTTCACATAAGACTGCTAATAGTTCATTTACGACAGTTAAAATTAACCTAACGTTTTCCCATTCTGGGAAAATGTACGGTAGAATTCAGTGAGGTACGTGGGGATTAAACATTTTTTTTGAACTTTGTCGTAAATTTTTGAAATAACTTTGCACTCCTAGAAATAAACATTAGTTGCGCTTTAACCGTTGTACTTTTGAAAAAATCTTTAATAGTTATATGAGTTTTAGTATTAATTACACTTTTGCATTCTTTACGTAAATAAGTTAAAAAATAGGAGTAGTCAATAACGGCTGCCATTTGCTCTAAAAGTCTGTCGATTGCCGATCCTAAAGTAAACCAACGTGAAGGTAAATGATTGACAAATTTGTTTATTTAACTTCAGTTTTGTTAGCATTTTTTCAGAATCACCATATCTTGGCCAAATTCGTTTATTACTTTCACGAACGCATTATTTATTGTATGTAGATGATAAACCAATAAATTTTGGTTAAGATTTTATTATATAGCAAGTCAGACAGATGGAAACAATTACCTACTTTTTTATATTTTACGGGCAATTAAACGCCGAAAAAACATGTATTTGGCTAATTATCACGATGTATACTTGTACAATATTTTCCTAGCCTAGACCGTGAAGTAAAAAGTAACATTTTGGCAAAGTATATCATTTGTTGCTGGGTAACTAATAATAATAATTATTAATTCTTTCCCTCATTGTATTCTAGATGAGATTTAAAAGCAACACACAGGAGTGTTAAACATTTCTCATTATTGTTCTGTTTACTTGTGAACACAATTGTTACTTAAGTGTCACTGAAATGAAGTTTAAAATGTATTTAAAATCTTCAACCCTCCTTGCACCAAATATTGCGAAAAAAATTAGCAGTGTTTTCTCAAGTTACACGTGTGCAATAATTTCATCAAGCCGATTTAAATTTAGAATTGTCAGTGGCTTTTTACAGAAGAACAGTAGCTACATTAATTCCCAAAATATGAGAGTATGGAAGACCGAAAATTTATATGTTTATGCTGAGACTCCCCTTTATCCTCAAAAAGTTGGTGTTTGGACTGTAATTAGTCAACAATGGATAATAAGGCATATGTTCTTTGAAAGTAATCATGGCTATTATAGTCATGTGATTAACTGGCTTATTCAATGTAATTCTGTTCAAGGTAATCTAACCGCACGTGCACCCTATAACGCTGCTCAGCAAAAAATTTTAGGCTAGAACCACAATAGCAATGTTATAGCAATTTTTTGTCAACTGGATCTTGGTTGTAATGCAGAGAATAACAGAAAAAAGGAAATGGGCTAATCTCACTTAAATTTCTGGCAAAATGGGCAACATTTTCAATATTTACTGTAATTTCATTTTATTTACTTAATAAAATTAAATAATTTCACTTATTTTATTCAAAAGTGTCTGCCATTTTTGTTTCTACAATTGTCATTTATCAGTGTACTTTAATCAGTCATTAAAGGATGACTCGATTACAAGTTATGTGTTCGCTCCATGTAGAATTTGGTAACATGTGTTAAATTTAAACAATTGGTATTAATTACCTTGTACGATTCTAGAGCGTCAACCCAGATCTGCTTGGCTTCCACAGAATCAGCTCGAAGGTACCAAACACAGTCATTGACTGAAACATCAAATCTGCACTCATCGAATTCATGTGGCTGAAACAAAAATAGCCATAAAACTGTAACTTCTTACAAATAATCAATAACAAACCCACTTGAAATCAAACAGTGAAAATAATAAGAGAAAAAAACATACTTTTATAACAGCTTTGGCAAGTGATAGTGCCCCTCGACATCCATAACCGCTTTCTTGTTCACTTTTATAATATGACAATGTTCCACCTCTTAAAACGATGTAACGATCTTGCCATCCGTGTATATAATTAGTCCATTTACTCAACACACCTGCCAATTCCTCTTGATTGTCGTCCGAATCGTCGCTACTGTGTTCGTCGGCCATGCTAAATTTTTTGATGGACGATGAGACTAATTATAACGGAACAGATTCAGGTCATTTCATGCAAGGACAGGGGGATTCCGTGCCGGTAATTATACAACACATCACAAACATACCATGCTATTTCTGCGTCTTATCAATTTGTTTTTTCATATCACTGTTAGTATACTATCAGCAGGGTATATTACGTGCTATATTGAAAAATCATGCGCGTCAAAAAATCGTTGGCCTTGAACATGTCAGTGTGGTTAAGGCGGAAGATTTAAATAAGCGTGTCAAGCTGAACATAAAAGTGCGTTGTTGGTGGTATAACGTTAGGCGTTTTTGCCCTGACTGATTTTTTTTAAGGCAGGCTACCAGTGGAGAGTGGGTTAATATATTGTGTGCAGCTGTAGTGGTGATTGGATCGTTTGTAGGTCTTGCACTTTTCCATTATCAGATACCCTTTTACAATCTTACATCAATTGTTTTTGTTATTCCTCTTTTATTTGTGTTAAAATTTCATAGTAAATCGAATTATTTCTTGAATTTTCATAATTTTATTATTATTACTTCCCGAGCGTAAGCAAAGAAAGTATTGTAATCGAGTCCGTCGGCCGACTCTCTACTTTTACATTTTCTCGACCTATCATGACCCCTAGAGGACGAAGAATTAGGTCTCCCGTTTCCGTCTGTCGGTCCGGTTGTCCGTCTGTCCGTCTGTCCATCTGTTTGCCGTTCCGGATTTTTATTAGGCAGATAATCTCCGAAAGTACTGTGCCGATTGTTGTCAAATTTTGTATTTACATTAGTTATATCATGTAGATGGTAAAACGCTAACCAAAATTTGTCTAATCATCCCCACCACTAATGTGATGACGTCACTTCAAAACTGTACATAGTAAATGGGTTTTAAATTGTATCAAACAACATAGTCTTACACATGTAGTTAATGACTCCGAATTGAGCTTTTACGTCCAGATTTTTGGGAAAAAAAAATCAAAATTAGAAAACAACATTTTGAATCTGCAAAACCTAATGCTTTGAAATCTTGCAGATGGTTTACAGTTATGACAAGCATGATAAATTCTTATTCAAAATATATTTACATGTCTCGTCCAATTAGCCAATAACACGTGACGTCACGCTGTGGCGGGAACTCAGCGTTTGACAAGCGCCGTGAAACTCCATAAGTGATAATGTTAACATTTTCGCATTTTATTTAAAAGTGTGGGTATTTATCTAGAAAATAAACACGTGAATAGCTTCTTTCATATCTTTTCTGCGTATCTGGGTTTTTTTTTTGGCGATTTGAGTTAAAAAAACCATAATAAAAATAAAAATACAGAACGCTGTCTTGGTCTGAATTCCTCGTCACCCAAAATACATCCGTGTGTTTTAAGCGGTAAATCGGAAATTAATATTTTCGTTTGAGGTTAATGTGACGGGTTTAAGTGAAGGTGTGTGATTTGTTTTTAAAGTATGGAGAATTTAAGTGATTATGCACGATGTCTTTCTGTCAAAGAGAAAAACAGATATGTACAAAAGTTAAACAATTTAAACGGCGTAGATCCTTATACAATGAGTGCAAGTGATTTTAATTTGTATTTAGACGATTTCTCTACCATAACAATGAATACCATTCTAAACTTTTTTATTTTTGGAATAAATAAAATAACCCACAATGAAATTCGTGCATTCAAAACTCTACAGGCATTTATTCAGTTTTCTCTTTTTTAAACGACTGTGTCTTTCAACATTACAAGTATTATGATCCTAAATTTTGTTATGGAACATAATCAGGATGGTCCACATCCGACAAATCTGCGGGTTTGCCTAAAAGAGCACCAATGTAGTAATTTATTAGAAACTGTAAATCTAATAGGTAGTTTCTGTACCTAAAATAAAATGATCTGAACAAACATAGGAATACTTTACTTTGGCTTCGTTAAATCCACCCGTTTCAAGGCTTTTAACCAAAGCTTCCGCCTTTTTTCCCCATCCTGTATATATTTACCTTTATTGTTGCTAATTGCTGGGAAAGGAAAATAAAATTTGTCCGCATTTCTGGTGCTTTGATTCGCGCAACCCATAACAGCATAAAATTTAGGCATTTTCTCCTAAAATACAAAATATTATAATATTAAGATGCTAGTGTATTTAAAAAACATTGATGTACATTAACAAAGATTTATTAATTTGCAAAACAAATAATATAAGATGCAGCGAAGTTAACCTGTACATCACATTGGAAAACATTATTTTTTAAGCATATTCAAACGTTATGGTGCGTTTTACAGATATCTACACAATCTAGAAACTGTAACAAAATTACCAAACTATAAAGACACAGTTGACACACTCTCAAATTTAAATGAATTCCGAAAATATTAGCATTGACTCTTATGAGAAAACCGGCTAGTTGTCAAACGCTGCCATCTTGATGACCTCGGATGACGTCAGTGTATTTGGCTAATTTTTTGGATGACGTCATCTGAAAAGTTTGTCTAAAATGTAGAAAATATGATGAGTCTGTACTTGTAATTTATCATTCCATTCATATTTTCTCGATTTACATATACAGAGTGACTCAAAAAATTAATGAATGAGTGAATATATTTTATTTAATTAATCAGGAACTACAAAACCGAATGCTTTAAAATCTTGGAGATGTTTTACAGTTATCATAGGTATAGTAAATTTTTAGTCAAAATATATTTTCTGATCCTCCTCCACAGAACAGTCAATCAGTCAGTCCTCCTCCCCTAAAAAATTGATCACGCCACCCCAAAATTTTTCCGAAAAATCTTAAATCTGCATTGTGCAAAGTATGATGAGTCTATAATTGTGATTTATCACTGCGTACATATTTTTTAGATTTGCTTATACGGGGTGTGTGAAAACAATTAATGACCGAGTCAATTTATTTTATTGATTAAATCAAGAATTGCAAAACTGCTTACTTCGAAATCTTGACGTTTTGAAGTTATTGTAAGCATGGTAACTTTTTAAAGAAGATGTATCTGTTTATCAACCCCAAAAAATTGATTACGGCATCTCAAAATTTTGCCAAATAAATTCTTTCGCAAATGTGCAAAATACGAACAGACTTTTAATCATTGCATTCATATTTTTTAGATTTGCTTAAACAGGTGACTGAAAAAAATGATTGAAAATGAAAAAGTCAATTTATTTTTTATCAAATTAGGAACGAGCCACCCCATTTTCTGCAAAATGTGAAAAATGCTCGTTTTTATAACAATAAAATAATGATAAGGTAAGAACTATAATAATAACATCCAGAATGTTTTGTTCAATGGAAGCTTATGAATAATTTTAGTCATCTGTTTTAGGACGGTAAACTCATTCAAATTAAACAAATGTCTACGTGACATTCTTCCGATGTAATCTATTCCCGTTGATAATGTCCTGTAAATAAATGTTTTGCACGCATAACCTTTTTTGATGACCTTGGCGCATTCAACAGCATGCGGGACGTCGAACATCACGCACAGATGCGTTTTGCTATGACCTCGTTGTTTATAAATAAAGCTGGGCGGTCGAAATTTATTCTTCCTATTGTGATAACCCAAACTTACCGCCTTTAAATTGGCCTTGAAAAAGTTTGAAAGGGCCGCGAAAAACTCAAAAATTCAAAATTTGGCCCTGGCTGTGATCGTCTAACAAAATGGGAACCTACGTTGTGTGTTTTTTTTTTGTTGAAAAGTGGCGGGAAGACGTTCTTTCATACAAGTGAGCAGACACTGCGTGTGAGTCGAGAGCGCAAGAAATAATAGACAAAAATTTTTTTGGAGGGGCTAAAATGGCACCCCTCTCAGGAGGAAAGAAGCTGCGAAGATTCACTCCTCAGCCCTAAAAGCTCCCTATCATATATTCACAGACATATTAAATTTCAAATGAAACACCTTAAAAATATGAAAAGAAAGACATACACATATGAACAACGAACAAACGTATCCTATACATCTGTTTGGAATAATAAAAACAAACCAAAATCTGAATTAAAGTAACTGGATGCAAATACACAAGTTATTACGGGCGTGTGGCGGCAGATTTTAAAGTTACGGCAGTTAGCAGGAGCACAACAAAAATACCCCTGGGTCGTTCTAGCACAAGCGGAGTTTGGGGCTACCGGTCGGGGCTGTTCTCCCTCCTCGACGGCGATTCTATCTATCGCAAAGCCTACCCAAACAGTACATTACTCGTCTCTAGGACGAATATGGCGTCCGAAACTAGGCCATTACGATCGCAGATCCACAGTTAGATCTCGACTATTGGGCTAAATCGAGAGAACTACAACATCGCAACCACCCCTGAATCTATACAAATCTGTACTCTTTGTGCGGGCGACAGCTCGACTAGGAACAGCACTTCGCTTCTGCCACGTTTTCTGTTATTTAACCTCAATTCCATTTTAAATGTTCAATTCTTTATAACTCTAATATTAACAACAACTGAACAAGTGTTAAAGTTTAAAAGAGCAATAAATAACATTTAAATTCGCCATACAATCTTGTGAAATTTTAAACAACAAATAATTCTTATGTGAGATAAAAATTTGACATTAAATAATTTATACGATGGAAACATTCATCAACAAAATATTTACAAAAAAAAAAAACTAGCAAAGATTTATAAAAACAAAAGATTTTGTGTGAAATAAACTTGTGCAAATCAAAATATTATGTGAGGTTAAAACTGTAGAGCATGAAATTTACGTTCAATGAAAATCATACAACAAAGAAAAATTACTGAGGTTAAAACTGTGAGATTAGAGAAAACTTGTATGAGGTTTGAAAATTTGCTAAGTTAATAAAATTTACATGAGATTACTACTTGCTACACTTTATCAACGATTCGAACAAAGAGTTTACATTAAGTTAAATTATGTCATGATTTAAGTGATTGGTTACTTAAAAAAAAAAACAATTTACTTTGAGAGTTTAAAATACCGCGAACTGCTGTTGCGAGGAAAAAGCGTCTCGGTGATATAAATTTTATAATTGCGAGGAAATGCCTCGATGATGTATATTTTAGCGTTGCGAGGAATAATCCCCGTTGATGTTATCAATCTATAGCGTTGCGAGGACATGCCTCGATGAAGTAATGAATCTGTAGCGTTGTGAGGGCAAGCCTCGATCATGTAATCAATCTTTAGCGTTGCGAAGACATGCCTCAGTGATGTAACCATGATAACGACGATAATAACGATG